CGGAAATCTAAATTCGCCAGTAACACCACCTTGTATAAATTCGCCTTGACTTTGTACGTTTTGTCAAAATGATGTGTCTGGTGTAATTTTGTTTTGTACTGTTTGTCAAAATGCGTATTATTTGTTGTTGTAATTTTTGTTTTTGTTCTGCCAACACCCAAGGCGAATTTATACAAGGTGGTGTTACTGGCGAATTTAGATTACAACAACGACAACCATATGTATTTTGTCTGGCCAACACCACTTTGTATAAATTCGCCTTGCTTTGAACACCACATTGTATGAATGCGCCCTGGGTGAATGTCGCCATTCGATAGTATTTGCAATTATCGATAGTACTTTTCTTTCGATACCAAGTAGGTATCGAAACTACGATGAGTGAAAAATGTAGGTGGATTCGAAACAAAACTATCGAGTAAATACTCGTATTTACTTGTATCGGAACATCCCTAAGCTCTAGTAGCACATCAAAACATACTCTTCCTGGATGAAGTCATTTCTGCAGTAGTTTTCTTCAGTTTTATTCATTCAGGATTAGCCCAGAAAAATGCCGCTTTATGAAACAGTAATGCAGGAGAAACCACCTGTAGTTCTAGACATCGGAACTGCATATACCAAGTATGTGTGTGTGAATACTGGTGTCTTTAAAAACTAAGTGACGTCATATTTTGATTCCGTAGGCTGGGTTTTGCTGCAGAGGCTTATCCACGTAAGATCATACGGACAGAGGTCATACTCTCCAGTAGTGGCCAAACAAAAGCTTTATTAGAATATGCTAGCACAAGTGATTTATACGATCAATTTGTTGATTACTTGCAAATGATTTTCTTCAAGTAAGTCTGTGAGTATTGTTTGTGATTGCCTTCTTAAAATCTGAGTCCCCTAGGCACTTGCTTGTTATACCAAAAGAGCGGAAGATAGTGATTGTCGAGAATGTGCTGGGACAAACATTAATACGTGAAACTCTCGCGCGTGTTTTGTTTCGCCATTTTGAGGTGTCATCTATTATGTACGTGCCTTCGCATATGATTGCACTGGCCACACTCGCTGTACCTACCGGCGTTGTGGTTGACATCGGCTATTCTGAAACGACTGTGATGCCAGTTTACTGCCGCGTTCAAATCCTACAAGCATTCCAAGATCAAGCTTACGGAGGACGCGCTATACATGCAGAAATCAAACGACAGCTTTTGGAAGCAGGTGTAAAAGAAAAATATCTTACTGAGTCTGTATTAGAAGATATTAAGGTGCGTACCTGCTTCGTAACGAATTTCAAACGAGCCAAGGCCTACCGCAGCAGTCAAACACCAG